ATAACCTGTCCCGAACMTGATATAGAATGCCGCAACGTTTCCGGACCTGAAAACAAACTGCCTCCAAGGTTCCAAACCTGGAATAACTGTCGTAGTGGCGCCGGTCCTGAGAATAAATCACCGTAGCTGTCCCAAACCTGAAAATAAGTCACCGTAGTGAGACAGCTGTCACCGGGCCCATACCGTACCTGAAGCACGTCAGACACCGTAGGACGTAGCCACTCGGTAACAACCCATAGTCGACCCAAGGCAGCACCACCCCATGCTGTCCATGCGACTCCTGCTCTCATAACATCTCAACTGCGGTAATATTAGTAATCAAGCACACCAGGGAAAGCGTCGCAGGGAACCTCGACCATCGGCAGTAGTGTTAACTTGTTAAAATCCGGGGAAAATGATCAATCCGGAGTCAGAGCTGATGGCGGTTAATCGAGGCGAAATTAGGCCAATCTCCCAATAGTCGTGGGTTCCCGTCCCTTTCATCGTTTTTCATCATTCTTCCCTTTCCTTAATTTTATTGTCGGAAATATTAAATTAACTGTAAGTTCGCCAAAATTAAATTCCGAGAAAGTTTAAATAAATGGCCGAATTCCTTTTGTTTCTTTTCTTTTTTACCATTTTTAATCTTTTTCTATGTTTCTAATTTCATTGCCGGGAACATAAAATAACAAGGGTATTCCCCCTTGAATTAAATGCCGTAAAAAATAAAGAAATTAAGGGATATTATGTTTTTCCCTTCTCCCCTACTGGTCGTAATCCCTTTTCCCCATTTTTAATTATGGTACTAAAATAGACAAAAATCTGAGGCCTCATTTCGACCCCGGTCGTATGCCGCAAAAAACGTTCCTGCGAGGTCATTTCCCGCGATGCCTCTCCGCGGCAGGCCAATCCGGGTCTAACCCTCTGAACGGCCGGAAATGACGGTCCGTTGATATGCCGAGTGCGACCACCCATCTTGCCATCTTTGAGGGTTACCCGTAAGGTTCAGCGCGCCCAAAATCAAGGGCGCCCTGAGCTCCCCTAATTTCCGCTGCCTGGTCTAACCAGAGTACCATCAAAACTCAGACTCGTCTTTGCGCCTAAGTCCCAAAACAGTAGATTTCAGGCGGCGCACTGCTTGTGGCTGCCTGACAGTTAGCCCGGACCACTTCTCGACGCCCCCGTCGATCCCTAACCACTTTCGTCAGACGAAGCGGACGAGCTTCAGGGCGATTATCCGTAAAGGACGCCCACGTCGGCGTTCAGTTGTCTTATGTTTCAGTCTGTTTTGAGTTCTAGGGCTAAGTAGATATTTTTCGACTTTCCTTCCCCGCCGGGTTCTCGGCCTTGGTAGGATCCTCTTTTTTTTCTGTCGTTGGCCCGAGAAGGGTGCCGTCCCGCTTGTTTGTCTAATGCGGACTCTCTGTTTGGCCCCCTTTAGCACGAATAACCATTTATTCTTTCTTCCTACAGCTAACCCTTTGACCTTTCTTTTCTCTATTCTTTTTCTCTTCTTGGAGCTTTCGCCTGCCTCGAATCGTCTCAAGGGATTTCCATCCTCCATCTTAGCCTTCCCCTTTCCTTTGGGGCCCGTCAGCGATAAGGTGGGTGCAGACGTGGGTCTAAACAGCTTTAACCTAGCGTCCGTCACTGGGTCCTTCCACTTAGATCCATCCAATTCTGCTATCATATATGCACCCCAGTCGAGTGCCTCAACCACTCTGTAAGGTCCCATCCATCTATTTGCGAGTTGTCCGGTCCAGGTCCTCTCTAGTGCCGCGTCGTAGAGAAGGACCATATCTCCTACGCTCACCCACTCTTTCCTGATTCGCACGTTCTTATCCCATCTCTCTTTACCCTTGTCCCTTTCCACTGCCAGACGATCTGCCGCTGTCATGAGGTTATCTTCCAAACCGTAGGCTATCTGTCTTGTTCGGGCAGCTATGAGTTCCTCTCTGGACATCTCCTCCGCCCAGTCGACGGTTGTCCAGCTGTCGACGTGAAACTCTATGGGGAGCGAATAATGTCGCCCAAACCACAAGGTGTACGGTGGGTATCCGGTACTAGCCCGGACCGTGACGTTGTCCGCCCATATTGCGTATCGAAAATATCGTGGCCAATCACTCTCCTTACCCTTGCACCACTTGGACAGTGACGCTATCAGAGTCTGGTGTCCCCTCTCTACTGGGGAGTTCGACTGTGGGTGATAGACGGTGGCTATCGAAATTCTCGCCCCGGCTCTCTTGAACACACTCTGGACCTCGTCAGCTAGAAATTCCGCCCCTATGTCTATCACTATCTTGCTGACACAACCATACCTAGATAAGTACTCCAGGACGAAGTTCTTTACTTCCTTTGCCGTCTTACTCCTGATGGGTCTACCGTCCACGAACCCAGTGCAATCGTCTCGTATGTTCACGACGTAGTTCATATTGCCTACCCCCTTCGGCATCTTCACTAGATCGATGTGTACCTTCTTTCCCGGTCTGGTGGGATAGGATGGATGGAGAGGCTTTTTGTACTTCACAAGAGCTCTCTTCTGACACTCCTCGCAGGTCATACAATACCTCTCGACGTCCTTATACTGTCCTTCCCACCAGTACAACCTGTGTACCTTTTCGTAGGTTCTTTTGACTCCCCTGTGTCCTCCGACTACCCCGTCGTGAAGCTCCGCAACTATTGTCTGTCGCTCCTCAGGGTCACAGACTACTCGTAAGGGCATCCCCGAGCCGACCGGCCTTCGAAATAGATGGCCAACTCTAAGACAGTACTGGGTCGCTTGTCTCCGGATATCTGATTTTTGACTTTCCTCTCCTGACAAATGTAGCCCGATCATTCGGTATTTGCCCTCGTAGAGGTTAATCAGAAATCGTTCGGTGCGTCCTGGCACCGCCATAGTCAGGGCCCCAACTACTATCGGGCGCTCGGCCTCAAGAGGGATCCGAGAGAGTCCATCTGCTACGGCATTTTTGGTGCCAGATATCCTCTCTACAGTGTACTCATATAGCCGAATCCATAATAACCATCGTGCAATAGTCGGGTCTGTCAGGCTAAAGTCCTTCTGGAGGACAGAGGCAACCGCAGTGGGATCCACTCTCAGGATGAACCGACGGCCATAGATATAGTGTTTGAACGTGTTCAGACACTGCAGAACAGCTAACACCTCCTTCTTCAATTGACTGTAGTTACGCTCAGCCGTATTAAGTGTTCTACTCTCAAACCTTAACGGTCTCTCTTTCCCTCCAGCGTCCTTCTGAGACAGCAAACCACCTACTGAACATGGTCCAGCATCCGTGGATACTATGAAGGGTCTCTCGGTCTCATCGTCAAAAGATGGCATGCCCAACACACGTCCTCCCTCCTTAAATTCGTCTTTAAGTTCTTGCATAGCGAGTTCCTGCGAAGAATCGCAGTAGAATTTTTCAGTCTTTCGAAGGAGTAACCTCAATGGCTCAGCCTTCTCCTCATACCCCCGTATGAATATACGCCAGTAACCGACCACTCCAAGAAACTGCCGGACCTCGGTTGGGCTATGTAACATTGACGGCCAGTTCATGAGTTTGTCTAACTTCGCCGAATCTGCTCAGCGTCCTCTCGAGTCACAGATAAAGCCCAAGATCTTAACAGTCGAGACGGCCCATCGGCTTTTTGTTCCACTGACTGTTAGATTCGCATCGTCCAGCTGCTCGAGTACCGCGCAAATATCCGTTAGGTGCTGCTCGACGAATCTTCTACTCCAGGTGCAACCTCTGCCTTATCCTTGTTTACTGGCCCTTTTATAGGAAAGTCATCCAGAAAAACTTCAACCTTACCAGGGATGAAGTCCTTGAGGACGACTACCATGGCTCTCTGCAAAACGGCTACCCCATGAGTCCAACCCATAGGGACAACCATCATCTGTATTAGTCCCAATGGCGTATGCATAGCCGTGAGGTGCCAGTCTCTAGGGTCAAGTGGCACCTCATCATAGCCTAAGAACAGATCACAGACCGAATAAATCGACCAACCTGCGGCGCCTTCTGCCAGTAAATCGGCGTGTGGCACGGAGCCCACATCTCGTATCGTCACCGTGTTGACCTTCTGAAGGTCCTAGATCCATCGGATCTTGCCATTCGGCTTTCGTAGGAAGAACCATCGATTAGCATAAGCGCTATCAGACGGCTCCGCAACATGGGAAACCATCTTTTCTTTCAGGAAAGCGATAACTTCTTCCTTTTCCTTTTGGGCGTATTTCCATCCCGCGTCATTCTAGGGAACATGTGGTATCGTGTAAATCCTTGCTGGCTTAGTGTATCGAGGGTCAACCCTACCGCGCTCCACGTCACTAAAAGCTATGGCCTTATCACATGTCTTCAGGATTTCTATCACACGTTCTCGCTCATGTCGGGTCAAATTCCCATCTCCGATGTCCATCCCTGCTATCCTCTCTTCCGTTAGGCGTTGCGGCTCCTTTCTCTTTCTTTCGTTGATTTCTTTTGCGATCTCTTCTTCCGATATCCCTTCCTGTGCAGATCGCTCGGGGCCCACCGCCGCTGGCTTAACTTTTTGAGCTACTCGCTTATGTCGCTTGGGTAGCCCCCCATAGGGGGCCGTGCCCTTAAAAAAGACACGRATACCACACCGCCAAATTCCTCATCTTTTTCCTTTGGGTACGAGTTGCCATCCACTATTAGCCGACTCCCTAAATCTTCCACCTCCACGATCCGACCTTCTTCCTCTGTGAGCAGTGGTCCATATTTCTTCTCGCGAAATCGCACCGTGCGGCCGGAGATAGGTAATGACTTAATCTGATCACTAGGTCTTGCACCTACCGCGAGAGCTGCTCTGTTCCTCGGGTCCCGAGGCTCCACTGTCTCAATCATTACCCGCGTCCCGTCTGGCTTATTAATGGACAATGTTTGGCTCCCATCAGGTCGCTCTATCGTCACCGCATGCGCGTGGCTCAGCCACGTTCGACCCTAGAGCAGGTCGGAGCTGCAGTTCTTGACTGCAAAGATAGGCAGGGTCACTCGTACCCCTTGGACCTCTATGGCTGCCTTGTGACAAACCCCAGTGATCTGTTGCTTTCTCCCATCAGCCGTCTCTATCTTGAATAGGTATAACCTATCGAGGCCCAGTCCAACCTGTACTCCCAGGTCCTCGTCTATGATGACAGCCTCACTGTCGTTATCGATCACAGCATCGAGTACCGCTCCATCGTTTATAGTCGTCTCCACGGCCCCGGTACCAAGTATATAAAACTTGTCTGGAGGTACACCTTCCATTCCATCGAGAAGGACTGTCGCCATGCGATCCGCTCTGGCAGTCACCCCCGTTACTGCTACTGTAGAAGCTTCCGCCTTAGGGCCCCCTGACCCTCCTCCGATAGAGGTATGCGAGTCTTCCGCGTGATCATCTGTAACTCATCACGAGCCGGCTTCGATGCCGCCAGGTACTCCAAAATAGAGCACTGCATGGGTTGCCGAAGGGCCCGCCTCAGTGGCTCGACCGTGTCAATCTCGTCCAGCGAACTCTTCATTAAGAACTTCTTCACTCCCCGCTTTCGCGGTGAAAGGATACCCTCCTCTCCATTGACCCGCTGCCCGTCCCTCTCTGCCATCACGTAATCCGTGGCAGTCTTCTTCGATGTAGACCCTCTCGCCGACTTGGTGGCTGCCACCCTTATGGGTGTGGTCGCCATATCCCCCTCAAAGTTTATCTTGATGCTTTGGCTCCTGACCGACTCCTTTTCTTTACTCGGCTTTACTCTCCTTGCTTCGGCATTGTCCTTCATCGAAGGGAACATCGATACATCTCCCAGACCATTTGCCCACTTGACGTACTTGAGGTCGTCAAGCACGACAAGTCCCTCATCTATTGCCCGTTTGAGGTCCAGGCAATCCCTCTTGATATGATCTTCTCCTCTACAGTAGACGCATGAGTTCCTGGGAGTAGATGGCCTGTCGTCTGCGCTTCTAGAGATCGAACTCCTGGCTGCCTTGGGGTCAGGCGACTTGGGATATGKTTCTGATGAGACGCCATATCCCCYTCTCTCATTCCGACCGCGCGAATCGTTGCGGCGGTYTCCTCCAGACCCTCCTTGCTCATACCGCCCTCGCGAATCATTCCGGCGGTCCCCCGAGTCATATCGCCCTCGTGACTCATCGCGTCGGTCCCCTCGATTGTACCACCCCCGCGACTCGTCGCGCTGCTCTCTCGCATCTCCCCCGCGCTCAAATCGTCTCCGCGACCCATCTCGTCGTTCCCAGTCCCGATCTCCTCTTTCATACCTACCACTTCTGTAGCCATCTCGACCCGACCTCTCGTATCTGTCGTTCCTATATCCGTCTCGGTCTGATCTCTCGTATCTGTCGTCCCTATATCAATCTCGGTCCGATCTCTCGTATATGTCGTCCCTATATCCATCTCGTCGGCCCTGATCTGTCTCCCATCGGCCGCGGGAGTTGCCTCTACCCCGATCGACCTCATAGCGAGGGCTTCGCGGGTAATTATCTAGCCTCCTTGCTCGCGCAAACGACTCGCGATCTCTGCGGTCGCGGTCTATCTCATCATCCGTACGTCGCCATGGCTCATCGTCTCTCTCTCTTCCCCTCGTACGATAATCAGTCAGCATATGAGGATTTCTATCCTCGACACTCCTCCAGGATTCGTTGTTCCTACAGTCCCAGCGAAGTGAATAGGGTCCTCCAGGTTTGTCCCGGTAGGCCGTGGGCCCTGTAGTGGTCACAATCTCTGTAACCTGTCCCGTCAATCCCTTCACCATGTCCCGTATCTCCTTCACTTCCTCAATCACGACCTCATTCTTCTCCGATCAGGGATAGTCCTTGAAATCAGGACATCTATTAGTAGCATACTCCTTGTAGAGAGAGAAGTCACGTCTCCTCATCCCTCTCCACACCAAGTCCTTGTAATCGTCTGCCTCTGCCTTTATCGCGAGCTTTAGGACTTCTGGGAAATCAAGCCTGTCGTGCGGAAGATCTCTAAAAATACTCTTTTGCCTACCTTTGGACAAGTGTCCGATGAAGATAGTACAACGCTCGACCTCTGAGATTTTCCCCTTCTTCATCAGCACGTCGGAGATCTTTTGGAAACGCATCCCAAATGCCCGTACGCTCTCATCTTCATCTTGAGTCATTGTTTCAAGGTCCTTGATGAAATACTTGTTATCCTCCAATTTGTAAAGCTCAACGAGGTTCTTCTTGTACGTAGTCCATTTCCCATCCTTCAGTCGAGCTTCCTTAACTTCCTTAGCGAGACTTGGGTCCACATTAAATAGGAAGTTCTCTATAATCTCTTCCTCCGACCACTGACTCCGGCTGGTGTGAAACTCCCACTTCTCCAGATATTCTGTGATACCATAGCCCCTGAAGGTTGGAGGCTCTGAGGCCTTGTGCATAATAATATAGCGATCCTTGCTTTCGTAAGGGAGCGGATGTGACTCCCCTGTCTGGGGGTTGAAGACTCGCCTGGGCGGTGCCCTGTCTCTATCTCTGTCCCTCCAATAGGAATCCCTCAAACTCTCTCTCCAGTCGTCTCTGTGCCTGTCCGCTATGGTGTCCCTCCGCTCGTACTTGGGGGAGCGTCGCCTCGTCGCTTCTCGTCGTCCGCTCGAGGTACCCGTCTTTAGAGCCTCCTGCGGATCTGTCGCAACTGGTTCGCCCCTTACGTCGGACCCTCCGTCATTGGTTTGGTCAGCCCATCTCAGCGGTGCTTCTCGCCTGATTCGTTCCTTCAGATCCCTCAGAGCTCGATCGGGCGATGTCCTGTACTCCTCTCCCGCTTCGCCAGTGGTCGGTTGTGGCCCCATCGTGTCGGGTTCCATTGGACCGCCAGAAGACGCAGTTAGGTATTCTAGCCAACTGTTATAGCCCGACCCTATGACAGTCGCTGCAGCCCGGACCTGTGACAGTTGCGGCAGCCCAGACCTGTTTCCTTGTCACGGCTCGCGTCCGCCTCCAATCTTAGCTCTCGACTGCCTTGATTACCACTTCCAGTATCCCGTACCGGTCGCAGATCTCGTGCTCTCCCTCTATCCCAAGAATCCCTGTGTCTAAGTAAACCTCTCCTTCGGG